CCAAAAGGAAAACCAGATAATTATTACAGTCGTAATAGGGGTCTGGGTTATGCCTCATCATCCGATGACGATTATGGCCAACGGATAATTAACCAATTAATAGACAGGAGTGGGCATTCATCTGACACTTCAAATTGGGATTCTGATGTAAGCATTGGAGAAAAATTCAAAAGTCTCATGTCAAACATGGCAACAGTCGATCCTTCTACAACAGAAGAAGACGATCAGTTGCCCACTTGGGAAGATCCTTGGACACATTACATGAATGTCCAATACGGGGATCGATTCGAGCAAAGAGAACCTCCTACTGAAGATAAGGTAGAGCAAGTTAATATGGGTGACGAAAATAATCCAAAACCTATATTTATCAGTGGGGATCTTCCACCAGACGAGAAAGATGAACTAATCGCCCTCATCCGAGAGTATATCGACGTGTTCGCTTGGAATTACGAAGATATGCCTGGACTCGACCCAAACGTAGCAATGCACACCCTTAATATAAAATCGGATGCTAAACCTGTCAAACAACAACAAAGACGGTTTCGGCCGCAAATTATGGAGGCAATAGAAGTTGAGGTCAAGAAGCTAATTGATTCAGGTTTTGTCAGAGAAGAACAACATCCCGAATGGTTGGCCAATATAGTCCCAGTTCTTAAAAAGAATGGAAAGATCAGAATCTGTATTGACTTCAGAGATCTGAATACCGCCTGTCCTAAAGACGATTTTCCCCTACCAATTACGGATGTCATTATCGACAACACATGCGGGTTTGAGAGAATGTCGTTCATGGACGGATTTTCTGGGTATAATCAGATAAAGATGCATCCAGATGATGAAAAACATACAGCATTCAGAACACCCCTGGGTGTTTTCTGCTACACTGTTATGCCATTCGGCTTGAAGAATGCCGGCGCTACGTACCAACGAGCGATGACGAAAATCTTTCAAGAGCACCTCCGGAAAACTGTCGAATGCTACGTTGATGACCTGGTCGTTAAGAGTCGCGATAAAAATGACCACATTAACGATCTGAAGACGATGTTCGAGCTTATGAGAACTCATCAGCTGAAAATGAATCCGACTAAATCCTTCCTTGGAATGTCGAGCGGTAAATTTCTTGGGTTCGTCGTCACTACAAAGGGTATTCATATTGATCCTGATAAGGTGAAAGCGATACATGAGCTACAACCACCGAAGAATCTTAAAGAACTCAGGGGGTTGCAAGGCCGATTGGCATATATCCGTCGGTTTATATCAAATCTTTCCGGAAAATGTCAACCATTCTCTAAACTTGCGAAGAAAGGCGTGTCATTCGTTTGGGATGAAGCATGCCAAAGGGCATTCGAAGATATTAAGAAATATCTAGCGAATCCTCCTATTCTCGTTGCACCGAAATCGGGCAGACCGTTTTTGATTTATGTCAAAGCGACGAGCCATTCGTTAAGTGCATTACTTGCACAAGACGAATCCTCCTATTCTCGTTGCACCGAAATCGGGCAGACCGTTTTTGATTTATGTCAAAGCGACGAGCCATTCGTTAAGTGCATTACTTGCACAAGACGACGATAACGGTCACGAACCAGCTGTGTATTATCTGAGTCGTACATTGGTAAGAGCTGAGTCTCGTTATCCGATAATTGAGAAGGAATGCCTCGCTTTGGTATTCGCGATTCAGAAAATGCGACATTATTTAGTCGGACAGACGATTTATGTCATTTCCAACATAAATCCCGTACGAGTATTCATGACCCAACCGGCTTCCATGAATTGGCGGTTGGCTAGATGGGCCTTACTCCTATCGCAATATGACTTGTACTTCAAGCAACAGAAATCTGTTAAAGGACGAGCTATTTGCGATTTTTTGGCGGAAAACCCTACGAAGGATGTAGTCGAATTGTACGACGATCTGCCAGATGAAACTCACGAAGTTAATACCACCTCGCATCAACAAGTGTGGCAATTGTACTTCGATGGGGCTTCTCGATCAACCAACGTGGCAAGTGCACCCGGATGTTCTAAAATTTCCTCAGGTGTGGGGGTCGTTTTAGTTTCCCCGGAAAAGCACATCTTGCCTAGAGCATATTCACTAACTGAGCCATGCTCTAATAACGTGGCTGAATACAATGCATTAATAATCGGACTTAATTTCGCCAAAGAACTGGGGGTCGAATACCTCGAGGCTTTTGGAGATTCTCAACTGGTAGTTAATCAAATACGAGGGGAGTATGAAGTCAGAAATCGAGACCTGATTCCATACCACCAGGTGGCCATCGAGATGGCAAGCTCGTTTGAAGAATTTTTTATCGAGTACGTTCCGCGTCTCCAAAATGCATATGCAGACGCATTGGCAGCATTGTCAGTATCCTTGGCTCAACCTCCCAAAACAGAGCAATTGATTACAGTGAGGACTCACCAGCTTATTGTCCCAATCTACGATTCGAATGCCAAAGAGGTTTACTCAATAGGAGTTGAACCTGAAGTTCGAGATTGGCGTTTTCCTATTATCGACTATGTCTTACATGGTATATTACCTGAAGATGTAAGAGAAAGGGAATCGATTCGACGAAGAGCACCGAGATTTTATTACAATGCCGCAGCGCAAATGTTGTATCGACGATCGTATGATGGTCTTTTACTCCGTTGTCTATCCGGAAAAGAAGCGGAACAAGCACTCAAAGAAGCGCATGATGGAATATGCGGTGCACATCAGCCCGGTCCTAAGCTCTGTGATCGACTTAGGAGAATCGGGTATTACTGGCCAACTATGGTAAAAGACGCAGTCGACTACGCACGAAAATGTGAAGCGTGTCAATTACATGCGAATTATATGCACATACCCCCTGAGTATCTACATCCTTCGGCGACATCATGGCCGTTTGAGACATGGGGAATGGACATTGTAGGTCCTATTTTTCCGCCTTCGGTTAAAGGGGACCGTTTTATTTTAGCAATCACCGATTATTTCTCGAAATGGGCAGAAGCAGTTCCACTTAGAGAAGTAAAGACGACTAATGTCATCAAATTTATCAAACACCATATCATATATCGATACGGTGTGCCAAGGCGAATAGTACACGACAACGGTCCTCAGTTCGTGAGCAACGCATTCATCAAGTTCTGCGGTAAATTCGGGATTAAGGACGTTTCGTCAACCGCTTATAATCCTACAGCTAACGGACTGGCCGAAGCTTTTAACAAGACTATCATCAAAATTCTGGCGAAATTGGTGAAAACCAATAAACGAGATTGGGACGACAAACTCGGCGAAGCTCTCTGGGCTTATCGTACGACCGTCCGCACGCCTACAGGAGCCACCCCGTATGCTTTAACGTATGGGTGTGAAGCCGTTCTTCCATTGGAAGTGCAGATTCCTTCTCTCCGTATCGCTCTCGTAACGGGAATGACGACGGAAGAACATCATCAGAAACGTCTCGAGGAATTAGAGATATTAGATGAGAAACGCTTGGAAGCTCAACAACAGATCGAGTTTTATCAAGCTAGAATTTCTCGGGCTTTCGATAAAAAAGTCCGACGACGAAGCTTTAAAGAAGGAGATTTAGTTCTCGCTGTTCGAAGACCTATGATTCTCACTTCTAAGAAGAAAGGCAAATTTGAACCTAAATGGGAAGGACCGTTTGTAGTAGAAACAGTCTACTCGAACGGTGCCTATCGCCTGGTTACTCAGGATGGCAACAAATTGATGATGCCAATCAATGGAAAGTTCCTGAAAAAGTATTATCCGTAATGCTTTCAGGATAACTTACGTAAAACGGGAAGTTTCTAGAAAATCCTATATGGGATATTTCAGGATAACCCGATATCAGTTGATTATTTTAAATGAGAACTGATTATGCGAATGATACGTTCTTAATTGTTATGAAAATAATTAGGAACCTTTTACTACTTTTGTTGAGATGAGATTTAATGACAAGTTAATCTTTCCTCACAAAACCCTGTAATGTGATCATGGAAGATGAGATTCAATAATTTATAATTTCACGCTATGAAACCTCCACCGGTCGGATTGAGCAATCATCGTCAGTCGGTGTCAGTTGACAAATTATTTCATGTTAAATGTTTGAAATCAAAATTTCCCATCGAGTAGTTCGTGCAAATCAACGAACTCATTGTTATTTGTACCCTATTCCAATTTCTCACCTGGTCAAACCTTTAAATAGTTAAGACCAAAACCAAAATCCCCTCTCGATTCCTTCCATGAACGAGAGATCCTCAAAACTCCCACTTGGTCAAACCTTACTACAGTTAGGACCACAACCAAAATCTCCTTTCGATTCATTTTGCGAACGAAAGATCCACTTTCGAATTGAGTAATCAAACCTTACGACAGTTAGGATTATTCAGGTCAATCCAGATTCTCTAAGTGAAGATCCCACTTCGAGTTTCTTTTGCTCCAGGAGATAGAATATAAAATTCTTCCTCTCCAATTCTGGGTTTATCTCTACCAACAAACAAGAGACCAGGAGATAGAATATAAAATTCTTCCTCTCCAATTCCGGGTTTATCTCTACCAACAAACAAGAGACCAGGAGATAGAATATAAAATTCTTCCTCTCCAATTCTGGGTTTATCTCTACCAACAAACAAGAGACCAGGAGATAGAATATAAAATTCTTCCTCTCCAATTCTGGGTTTATCTCTACCAACAAACAAGAGACCGGGAGATAGAATATAAAATTCTTCCTCTCTGATTTCGGGTTCGTTGTCCTATATAGGAAGCGCAACCTATTCACACTTTAAAATCCATATCACATGGGGGATGTTATCTCTATCCCTTATTAGAGATAAGCCTACATCTAACACATGTAGCCTACATATTCAATATGATAGTTCAAAGCCTAAAAGAGTTTAATTCTTTTAGCGCAACGTTATATGTGAAACGGACTTAGATAATTCACATACTAGCCCGACTCAAACGGTAGTTGGTAAAGGCATATCAAATCCGTTGATGGCTGAGGATTTGCCAAAAATCCTATAAGTATTATGACTATTTATTCTAAACAAGAATGAGTAATCATAATAAAATCTCAATAAAAAAGAAAAGTTCATTGTATTAACCAAAAGAGTTCAAGCAAAGCAGCACAAAAGAAAAGATGCATGTTTTCAAAATTACAATAATTTGTAATGACGGAATTCATCTTCTAATTTAGAAAGCTTTGTCGCGTAAGCCAATTCGAGCTCAGGTATCAGTTTGGCTTTAAATTTTCTTTCATCGATACTTTGAATTCTGGCAACCTCTTGTTCTTTGTCATCAAAAGTCTTGTTCTGGAAATTAAGTTGCCGGAGTATATCCACCTCAGCTTGAGTTACTTCTGCTAGATCAGACTCCAAAAATTCGCAAGCATCCTTAGCTTCGGCAAGTCGTTTCTCTAACTGGGCTACCTCTGTCCGACGTGATTCCAAATCACGATACAGGTCTACCTTGATTTGAGCTTTCTTGGCAGCACTCACCCGGAGTTGATCAATGCGAGTCTTCAGTGTTTGAAGTTCGGATTCAGCGGATTTCTGAGAATCACGCCATGCTTGTAGCCTCAGGTCCATTTCGGAAGCGATGTAAGAAGGTGCGCCATCAACTCGAAAGTTCTGTAACTGTTCAATGTGTTGTTTAAGATCGACCAAATAAGCTTCTATGGAGTTAGATAATTCGGTGCACCCCTGTTCTTTAATTCCTGATACATGGCGATCGAGAGACTTCCTGAAAAGTTCAAATGGTGAACCTTTAAGAAGAATCCGATCGACCATGGCGTTTAAGAAATGAACGAAGCTTTGGACGTCAACACAGAGGGCAGCTTTGTCCGGATCTTCATCTGCCAATAAAACTTGAATCCGCTCGGACAATGAAGAAGAAATAGCTGCAAAGAGAACAAATAAGTTAAGTACAAGAATATGTACGCTCGCTGGAAGAATTCACGACCGAGTTACCTTGGCTTGTTGAGGTCAGAGCAGATTCTATAACAACAGGGATCTGTTCAGGAATAACGATCGTCGGTTGAGTTACTATAGGAGACGGTTGTTCACCTGAAACACCTGATGGCTTCGGATCCAAAGCGACAAAATCTTGAGGAACAAGTTCTGTCAACGAGAAAAGGATGAATGATCACTCCGCAAGTATTAATCCAACTTCAAAGCACGATTAGACAAAACGTACCAAGCTGAGTCGAAGCGGCAGGGGGTTGTTCTCCCGCTGTATCCTTTGACCCTCCTACTTCATGATCCACTAGAGTCGGAGCAGAAAGCACAACAGGTTCAGCTTCGACAATAGCGGAAGTCGGGGGAGCAGTGACTGGTGGTTCAACTTCAGCTGGGGGACTTGCCAAGAGTAAGAAACCCAGACCTTCAGGTTGATCACATTCACCAATGACAGTAGATGCATCAGCTTTGTTGGTTGGTCCTACATTTAGAATTCTTATTTCAGTCATCCAAGAATAATAAGAGATGAAAGTATAGTTAAACATTGGAGTCTAAAAGGATATACCTTTTGATACACCTACTTCAGCTGAATCAACTCGAGTAGTTGGTCCTGCAGTAGCGGATGGAACCGGATTTGATAGTATATCGGAGATCTCCTGGTGTACATCTTCGGACATATCAAGATCGAAATCACGCTCATCGAAATCTCCGATACCCATATCATGGGTAAGTTCGATATCTCCCGGTTCGTCGACTGTGATGTCTGTTAAACAGAAGAACTCGTCAACACATATACAAGAACTATCAAAGAATCAAAACAAATAAAGTGAGATTACCTTCAACAATAGTTGCGGGATTAGCAGCGCTACTACCCGCACTCACCTCCTTTAGTTTAACTAAAAGAAGATAAAGCGCACAAGTTAGTAGGAGAGGAACACGTTCTGATTCACTTATCTTCCGAAAATGTCCCCCAAAGGAGAAAACATCAGTACCTGTATCTGCGGTTGGCGAGGTCGATGTGGTGGCTGGAGGAGGAACAATGTCCATATGAAGGGGTTCCTCGTTCATAGCCTTGTGCACTTGTTCAGTGAAGCTAGATTCATCAACATCCATTAAACCCGGAGAAGAAGGCTTGGGCACGATTTCCCCTTCCTCTTCTGATTCAACTGCAATGATAAAAGAATAAATGCGACGCCTTATTCAAAAAAAAAATAAGATAACAGAAAGGAGATGAAGATGAAACTTTACCCCTTTCATCAACTGGAAGATCCTGAGTAAACTTCTCCTCAAATAACGGAGAAAGTTGGCGTTCCCGATGAGCCGTCTTTTTAATCCTCTTCGAGGCACGAGAATCTCGAGGAACCTCGGAGCTTTCATGTCGAAACTTGGTACGTAATTCGGTTCCTTGAGTCGGCTGAGGTTGAACCTCAGAAGGAGCAGTAAGCCGAGATCTTTTCCTGTTAATAAGCGGGGCAACCTCTTCTTCCTCTTCTTCTGCCTCTCCCTCCTGAGAAAGCCATCTCAAGGTCATCTTGTTGGAGGACGACAGGGGAATGTTCTTTTCCTTCATTTGTATACCTTTTGAAGGAGCACCGGGTAATTTGGGCGAAGAAGCTCGACGAGTCCTGTGAGCCACGGGAGACAAAGGTACATCACCCTCTGCGTCGCCTCGGGTCTCATCCTCTTCGCTGGATGTCTCGAAGTCGTCGCTCTCTTCGGAATCAGCTACCTGTTTTCCTTTACGAGAAGACGTAGCGGGCTCCTTTCCTTTTTTTGATACAATTCTCCGAACTACAGCCTCGGATTCCAGTTCGTGGAGCTTCTTCTTCGCAAGAGGAGTATTGGCGGCTAAAATCCACCGGCAGTAGAGGAAGGTTAAGTAAAGACCAGGCTCAGCGACAGGCAAACTAAATCGAGCTCCGGTACAGCCAGCAACATTCCAGAACCAGGCACGTACCCCATCAATAAGGCCTCCGCAGTTTATCAACCATTTATTGGGATTCCCGATATACAATTGATCGTAGCCGAATTGTCGCGCAAAACGGCAAGGAAAATAAGGCTCAATCCTGCAAATGTTCTTCGATCGAAAAACATTATAGCCTGGGCGAATGTTCATGAGCCAATGAAAACTACCCGTATCGAGAGAGGTCCTGTTAGCCCCAGGCATTTCCTCGTCAACAAGCGTGTCATTATAGGCACCAGAAAACCGAGGGAAACACTTATAGAATTCCCAGCATTTGGCATTCTTGAATTGCCTCACACGGTCAGTCCATGGTCGGGAAGGATATAACCACTTACATCCTTCTAAGAGCTGCAGCAAGGGGATTTCTGGATCAGACGCATCAGGCGCTGACATCATGTCCGATCGATGGAGAACTAGCCACGCCATCAAATAGGTGTACGGAAATTCGACGCTCGACAAAGGAATCTTAGTTGAAGGCTCGGCACCCACTTTGGTAAAGGTGTTGGCTAGGTTACGCAAACCGCTATGGAGGTCAGCAATCATAGCAGAAAGAAGAGATAACCTGCCTCTGACAACTAGTTGCACGGCGGGAAAGAGAACTTCAAGAGGAAGCGCCTCAGAAGACTGATGCGGCACTACACATCTCTTTAGCCAAATGGCCAGATAACCGGAAAGAAGAGTTGCAGGCTTCATTCTCTTTGTGGCTTGCCACAAGAAAGTGTTGAACTTGGTGCCCTTAAGAAAACCACCTTCAGATGACTCAGTTCTGTAAGACTGAGCATTAATCTTCGTGATTAGCTGGTTGACGTCAGAAGGGGTCAGAATCGGTGATTCACAGACTTCTTCACCGGTCGGGCTCTCAAGGTTCTGAAATAGGTAGTCGGCGAACTGTTTTAAACTGACTCGAGCCGCCTTCTTACTCTTCACTTCAATCTTGGCTATCGCTATCTGATAATGACAAGTTAACTCCCAGAGGATGTCATAAGCAGGAGAGCAGGCCTTCTTCATTTTCATCAACTGACGATTATTAGGAAAATATTCTTGGTAAGGAGTATTCCCCAATGGCAATCCGGATACCTTCATCATTTCGTGGAGCGGAAGCCCTAATTCCCCATACTTGGTAAGAAAGGTATTGGTCTCCGGAATATAAGACTCGAACAAAGCCATAAAATGATCTGCACTCACTGGGAGACCATGCATACTAGCTCGGATTGGAGCATATAATCCCAAATCCCGCAACTCCTGATCCCAACGATGGAGTACGTATTTGGTCATCCTAGCCCACCATTTGTCAGGAAGAGAATGAACCCATCCATAACACCTGAATCTTGGAATGGGAAGTTCTCGACCAACCCGAGCGAGCTTATTCTTTACGGTATTGGCCCTTATCATCAGTTCGTTTTGGGGCCCACCATCTGGTCCAAATATACCAGGGTGAAGACCACGAACATCAGGCCTACCGACAGAGCCAGGAGCGCTAAT